AGAAGAAGAAGAAGAAGAAGAAGAAGAAGAAGAAGAAGAAGAAGAAGAAGAAGCAGGAGGTGGAGGAAGAGGAGGGGAGGAGGGGGAGGAGGGGGAGGAGAAGAAGAAAGAATTAAATGTATAATAGACAGAAGAGTAGATAAGAGATCGGATTACTAATGGTTAATATCATACAGAATACTATGATTTGATGACCTCCGTTAGCTCAGTTGGTATCATGCTGGACTACAGAACGGATGGCCCCGGTTCGAATCCCAGACTAGGCGTTCTTGAACTCGGGTTGTTTTGTCGAGTTTTCAAAACTCTCAACTCATTTGATCAGTCCTATCGAAGACGGACGTTAAATGCGGAGGTCCCGCCTCTTATTAATAACTTAATAACAGTGTTAATAGGGAAGCTAAGCCCAAACACTTCCTTATGCTTATGAGTATAAGTTGTTTTGGAGGTGGGCCTTTTTTTCTCTTTCTTTTTTTTGGAGTGCAATGACCGTACATCTTTGATCGCCTCCCCTCAAAAGGATCGGATTTCTTCACGATTGCTAGCCCGGTGGAAACCGTATGGAGTTATCGATAACTTGATCTCCACGTGTGAATGAACTACCTAAGAATTACAAAGTTCTATCGGCTTAGTACCTAGTTTTGAGAAATTTGATGTAAAATAAATTCGAATTTCACAACATATCAAGCTTTTTCGAATGCAATTTTTTGAATATCTTGATAATGACTCCGAATAATCTTACGGTGTTGATAGAATAGATAGATAGAGCATTAATTTGGTGTCTGACCTCATGGTCTTAGTAACTCAAAAACGGCCAAAAATATCAGATAGAACTTTGTAATTCTGAGGTGACGAGTGGTGAATGGACGTGCGCTAGTGGTTAGGCTACCAGACTCGTAATCGTGACGTTGCTGGTTGGGGGGTTCGAGCTGCGGGCCCGACGTTGTGTCCTTGGGAGAGGCACTTTACACGAATTTTCCTCACTTCACCCAGCTGGGAATGAGTACCTGACCCTAGACAGCGAAAGATCTTGTCAGCATGTTAATGTTTTAGCGCCTATAAATGGCCGCTCGCACTGTAGCTTCCCAGGAAGTTGAGATCGTTCTTGAATGCTCTCAGGTCTGCTGGGCATGAGGTAATAGTATAGATTGTAAAGCACAAAGAGCTTGCTGATGAGCGGGGATTTGCACTATACAAATGCTATCTATTATCTATTATTACCTGAGTTTGGCGTGGCACTGGCGTATCCTGTAGGCGGTCCCGTAGCCACAAGTCTCGCTACACACAGACCAGGCCGTCCATGGACCCCAATCGTGGGCCCTGCCCTGGAGAGGAACGAAAAATTCACGTACTTTACAAGTAATGTATAAAGAGTAAAGAAAAGGATGAATGAATAAATGAATACATTAAACTATAACACATATTTACTTTACAAGTAATGTATAAAGAGCAAACAAATGAAACAATCAATCAATCAATAAATTAAACTACGACACATTTTTTTAGGCAAGTGTTTTATTGCGCTCGCAACTGCATACGGTCATATGAGCGCACGGGGCACACCTAACAATTTCAGTTGGTAAGAAATTTTGAATTTTTCACGGGTGGCGGCCGAAGCCTACTTTTATCGATTTTGGACCACCAAGGGATCTTTAACGTGAGCAACTTGCACACGCGACCTCAAAGATTTTTCACCCTTGTCCGAGAAGGCTAGGTATAGATCTTACCTACAATAACTATACGATCTGGGGTGTGGCTGGAAGACTGCAGTGAGGAGAAGCCAGGGAGAAGCATTAGAAAGGCTGCAGAAAGAGTCAAGAGGAGGTGGCAAAGGAGATGAGCGGGTGGGGGAAGAAAGTGGAGACGAAAGCAGACGACAGAACATGGTCAGAGAGCAGGAAAGGAGGTGAAAAGAGAATCTTTTAGAGAAGAACATTTTCCATCGGTAAGTTTCGAACCCGGGACCTATTGAACGAGAGGCGAACACCGTCACTTCTAGACCACGAGTGCTCCCGAGGCAAATATAGTGAGAAGAGGAACTTACAGGAATATTAGAGAGAGCAAGCACAGAGATATAGGCAAATAGATGGATGGAGTGGGAGAGAGTGAGAGTGAGAGAGAGAGAGA